GGGGTAGGATACAGTAGATCACAAGGGGTAGGATACAGTAGATCACACGGGGTAGGATACAGCAGATCACAAGGGGTAGGATACAGTAGATCACATGGGGTAGGATACAGTAGATCACACAGGGTAGGATACAGTAGATCACAAGGGGTAGGATACACTAGATCACAAGGGGTAGGATACAGTAGATCACAAGGGGTAGGATACAGTAGATCACAAGGGGTATGATACAGTAGATCACACGAGGTAGGATAAGTAGATCACAAGGGGTAGGATACAGTAGATCCCATGGGGTAGGATACAGCAGATCACATGGGGTAGGACACAGTAGATCACACGGGGTAGGATACAGCAGATCACACGGGGTAGGATACAATAGATCACACGGGGTAGGATACAGTAGATCACGAGGGGTAGGATACAGTAGATCACACAGGGTAGGATACAGTAGATTACAAGGGGTAGGATACAGTAGATCACATGGGGTAGGATACAGTAGATCACACAGGGTAGACACAGCAGATCACAAGGGGTAGGATACAGTAGATCACAAGGGGTAGGATACAGTAGATCACAAGGGGTAGGATACAGTAGATCACACGGGGTAGGATACAGTAGATCACACGGGGTAGGATACAGTAGATCATACGGGGTAGGATACAATAGATCACACGGGGTAGGATACAGTAGATCACACGGGGTAGGATACAGCAGATTACATGGGGTAGGATACAGTAGATCACATGGGGTAGGATACAGTAGATCACACGGGGTAGGATACAGTGGCTGTGTTGCCGGAACATATTCAACTTAAAGGTTTTAGGTTGTTACTGTTGCCCAGTCCGTAATTCCTGCTCGAAAGGGATGAAGAGATAATTAGTAAAGGAGGGGCACTGTAAACTGTAAGAAAACCTACACTGAATGGATATTCCATAGACACTACATCCTAATGGGTATGTCTAATTCAGAGAATGCTGTTGAGGATGCAGGATCAAAGTTGTATACTCAGAGGCTTTTAAAAATCTTGAATATTGCACTGAGCAATTAATGTCCCTACCTTCTTGTCTTCTCGAGAGCCATGATCCATTTTGTTGCCGTTGTACCACCGATCGAAGCCACTCTCACACTCCTCGAACCATAACATACATTGCTCATACAGGCGGATGTCTTTCTCATCCTCCTCCTGGCTTAGGGTGCAGTCTCGCATCTTTACTGTCTCTGCCAATTACACCAGCATCATCAATACCAGGTCATCATCAATACCATGTCATCATCAATACCAGGTCATCATCAATACCAGGTCATCATCAATACCAGGTCATCATCAATACCAGGTCATCATCAATACCAGGTCATCATCAATACCAGGTCATCATCAATACCAGGTCATCATCAATACCAGGTCATCATCAATACCAGGTCATCATCAATACCAGGTCATCATCAATACCAGGTCATCATCAATACCAGGTCATCATCAATACCAGGTCATCATCAATACCAGGTCATCATCAATACCAGGTCATCATCAATACCAGGTCATCATCAATACCAGGTCATCATCAATACCAGGTCATCATCAATACCAGGTCATCATCAATACCAGGTCATCATCAATACCAGGTCATCATCAATACCAGGTCATCATCAATACCAGGTCATCATCAATACCAGGTCATCATCAATACCAGGTCATCATCAATACCAGGTCATCATCAATACCAGGTCATCATCAATACCAGGTCATCATCAATACCAGGTCATCATCAATACCATGTTATCATCAATACCAGGTCATCATCAATACCATGTTATCATCAATATCATCAATAATAGGTCATCATCAATACCAGGTCATCATCAAGACCAGGTCATCATCAATACCAGGAAATCATCAATACGTCATCATCAATACCATGTCATCATTAATACCAGGTCATCAATAATACCAGGTCATCATCAATACCAGGTCATCATCCATACCAGGTCATCATCAATACCAGGTCATCATCAATATCAGTACCAGGTCATCATCAATATGTCATCATCAATACCATGTCATCATCAATACCATGTCATCATCAGTACCAGGTCATCATCAATATGTCATCATCAATACCAGCATCATCTATACCAGGTCATCATCCATACCAGGTCATCATCAATACCAGGTCATCATCAATACCATGTCATCATCAATACCAGGTCATCATCACTACCAGGTCATCATCAATACCAGGTCATCATCAGTACCAGGTCATCATCAATACCAGGTCATCATCAAGACCATGTCATCATCAATACCATGTCATCATCAATACCATGTCATCATCAATACCAGGTCATCATCAATACCAGGTCATCATCAATACCATGTCATCTTCAAAATCCACACCCCTTAGTCAAAATCCACACCCCTTTGGCAAAATCCACACCCCTTAGTCAAAATCCACACCTATATCAATATCCACATCCCTTTTGTCAATATCCACACCCTCACCTTCAAAATCCGCACCCCTTAGTCAAAATCCTCACAAAAATCCACACCTATATCATCAATATCTTTACCCACATATTCAATAACAAAGCCTCATTACATATTTCTTCGCCCTGTAATATATTTCCCACTTTAAATATGTCAGATGTCATCACCCCACAATGTTTCCACTTTAATATGTCAGATGTCATCACCCCTCAATACTTTGTACAAGTATTAACCATCAGTGTATGATTTACCTTTGGCCACACTCAAGAAGAGGGCTGGCAGCTTGACCTCAGTGACAAACATCAGATCATATGGCTGAAAATAAACAAAGTCAACCAGATATTTAGTTATTAACTATATCTATAGCTGTCACAGATAATCACCAAACAATATATTTATAGCTGTCACAGATAATCATCAAACACTATATTTATAGCTGTCACAGATAATCACCAAACACTATATTTATAGCTGTCACAGATAATCATCAAACAATATATTTATAGCTGTCACAGATAATCACCAAACAACATATTTATAGCTGTCATAGATAATCACCAAACAATATATTTATAGCTGTCATAGATAATCACCAAACAATATATTTATAGCTGTCAGAGATAATCACCAAACAATACATTTATAGCTGTCATAGATAATCACCAAACAATATATTTATAGCTGTCATAGATAATCACCAAACAATATATTTATAGCTGTCATAGATAATCACCAAACAATACATTTATAGCTGTCATAGATAACCACCAAACAATACATTTATAGCTGTCACAGATAATCACCAAACAATATATTTAATTTAAGGTGAGTGGGGCAGAAGTCACCAAATTGTTTAAAAACAGAATACATGAATTGGCAAACACAGAAATGCTTTTTTCCACTCTCTTATATCAGAAATAAAACAAGCCAAGTAGCTCACTTATTGTTTTAATCATCTTTCAAACAAACCACATTTAAGAGGAAGTTTCAATGCACTTTCTCTTGGCAAATTCACGATTTGGAAACTTCCAACTTCTAATTCCAACCTAAACTGCCAAAAAGCAGTAGAGAATATCCCTGAAAAATTAACATCCTCCAATACATATCACTGACAACCCTTCAATCACTAACCACATAGTTACATTTTACTGTCAATCTTACCTGCCATTCCATGTCTAACAGGTGCAGCAGACAGGCCTGCACATATTCATATGCTGGGGCAATTTTCCTACAATGTTGTTTTAAATCTATTATAATACTGAACTTGGTAACAAAATGATTACTTTCTGTATAATTTCATAAATCTATTTATAACTAGAATTTTGTTTTTGTGAACAAAAACATGTCTCCCCTTATTAGCCAATAGAAAAACTCTGGTATAAAAAAAATAACAAAGGGCCATATCGCTTTATATAGTGAGGCACTAGACCCGAATTTAGAATGTGACACTCTTACTTCCCAAGATACATTAAAACTTTAGCAAGTTTGGTCAACGTAGGTGAAATAACATGGAAGTTATGCCGTGGACACACTTTGGTATTAAAATTACATAAAGGGCATAACTCTGTATATAGTAGGGCATAAAATCTGATTTTAGTGCGAGTAATTCCGCCTTTCCAAGATACATAAATATGCTAAGTATGGTCAACGTAGGTGAAATAACATAGATCTTATGCTCTGGACAAACTTCTGTATTAAAATTAAACAAAGGGCCATAACTCTGTATATAGTGGGGCACAAGACCTAGTTCCAGTGTACTGCACACCTTCTGTGGGTGATGCAGGTAAACTTCAAGTTTGATTAAGATATCTTTAATGGTTTAGAAGTTATGCTGTGGACAAACTTCGGTATTAAAAATAAACAAAGGGCCATAACTCTGTATATAGTGCGGCACAAAACCTGATTTTAGTATGAGAGATTTCGCCTTCCAAATATACATTAATATGATAAGTATGGTCAAGGTAGGTGAAATAACATGGAACTTTGCTACGGACAAACTTCCGCATAAAAATTAAACAAAGGGCCATAACTCTGTATATAGTGAAGCATGAGACCTAATTCTATTGCACTGCACACCTTCTGTGGGTGATGCAGATATAAGTCAAGCTTGATCAAGATATCTTTAACGGTTTGAAATTTACGGGCCAGACAAGAATTTACTGAAAATGTGCACTTATTTGACCTTTGATCTTGAGGTTAAGGTCACAGTGACCTAATTCCAGTGCACTGCACACCTCCTGTGGGTGATTCATGCACAACTAAAGTTTCATCAAGATATCTTTAACGGTTTGAAATTTACGGGCCAGACAAGAATTTACTGAAAATGTGCACTTATTTGACCTTTGATCTTGAGGTGAAGGTCACAGTGACCTAATTCCAGTGCACTGCACACCTCCTGTGGGTGATGCATGCATAACTAAAGTTTCATCAAGATATCTTTAAAGGTTTAAAAGTTCTGGCCCTGACAAGTTCGAATCAAAGAACCAGAAGAAAAACCGGTACTAGTACAATATATGTCTCCCTTCATTAGAAGGGGAGACATAATTACATCATATATAGAACATTGGGTATAAATACTAACAAATTTAGAAACCATAATCACATTGTTATAAATTGGCTTCACCAATGCACTGCCTGTCATGTTACTAGTTATAGTTCTACTTTTCTGTATCACTGTTAAGGAAAATAAATGTTTTAACTCTATAACAAGGATTGGAAATTATAATTGTCTTTGTATGATTAAAAAAGATATACCATTAATCAACAGGAAAATACCTTTTGATATTGTAGAAAAGTCGTGGGACACTCTACGTTTATAATGACTTAATCGTGTTAATTCGAACATCTATAACTAATCTGAACATCTATAACAATTACTTGTTTAAGTCATGGCGATGCATTCTGTGGAAAGGCTCAGTGAGTCGTCGCACCAGGAGGTAGTAAGCCTGTCTGACGCGTGCCTCCTGTTGTAGGCCACACCCATCCAGACTGTCAGCATAGTGCTTGGTGAAGCCATCCTGGTAAGACAGCACCTCCTGCAGGAACAATACCACTGGGATCTGGAAGACATTAAACAATCTCAGTAAAATCTCCTTTACTTGTTATACATGGTAGAGGGCGTATGTCTCAATACTGGATACAAAGCTGGTTAATGTAACGAACAGCATACATATATCTTACATGTTCTGATATGAAATTCAAGAAAATAATATAAAGAGGATACCAATGTTTGAGTGTGTCTGACCTGGAAGGGGTGACTGATTTCTGTACACTGATGGATCCTGATGAACTCGGCCACAAATGTGTAAATGTCTGACACTGCCTTGGCATGTTGGGAACGTTCATGTAAGATACGATTCACTCTGAAAAAGATGTGAGTTAGGTAACATTGAGTTAGAGATTTAGTCAGGAGGGAACATCACACCTCAATTAATAATTCTGACAGTGATCCTAACCAAGCGTTACCTGGGTATGTGATACTGACTGTAGACTGTTACCTGGGTATGTGATACTGACTGCAGACTGTTACCTGGGTATGTGATACTGAATGTAAACTGTTACCTGGGTATGTGATACTGAATGTAAACTGTTACCTGGGTATGTGATACTGAATGTAAACTGTTACCTGGGTATGTGATACTGACTGCAGACTGTTACCTGGGTATGTGATACTTACTGTAGACTGTTACCTGGGTATGTGATACTTACTGTAGACTGTTACCTGGGTATGTGATACTGACTGTAGACTGTTACATGGGTATGTGATACTGACTGTAGAAGCGTCATTACCGCTGTAATGTGACCACATTTGATGACAAAATGGAATAATGTATCCCTCAACTTTCTTCATAGAGGCAGCACAAACACACCCACATAGCATAGAAACATTCCTTTGTGACAGCACAAACACAAACACACCCACATAGCATAGAAACATTCCTTTGTGACAGCACAAACACAAACACACCCACATAGCATAGAAACATTCCTTTGTGACAGCACAAACACAAACACACCCACATAGCATAGAAACATTCCTTTGTGACAGCACAAACACAAACACACCCACATAGCATAGAAACATTCCTTTGTGACAGCACAAACACAAACACACCCACATAGCATAGAAACATTCCTTTGTGACAGCACAAACACAAACACACCCACATAGCATAGAAACATTCCTTTGTGACAGCACAAACACAAACACACCCACATAGCATAGAAACATTCCTTTGTGACAGCACAAACACAAACACACCCACATAGCATAGAAACATTCCTTTGTGACAGCACAAACACAAACACACCCACATAGCATAGAAACATTCCTTTGTGACAGCTATTTTACAAGGAACAAGTTTGTATGTAAATCAGAATATAAGATTTGGTATTGTGTACTTGTATGATGTGGTACATGATGTACTACCTTTCTGTGGTCCAGGCAGGGTCCTGTACAAACTCCAGGACCAGTCGGAAGGAAGGGGATTTGTCTGAACCATCCAGCTACAAAACCAAGGCATACACTTATTCTTTACACATTTTTTTTATTTGTTGGTTGTTTAGTTGGAATACAGAATTCAGAGAGCAATAATGCCACTAAGTATTCTTTCATGGAAAAAAAAGGATAAAAATTTAACAATATGGAATGAGAATTCTTACTTGCTATAAAGTTTCTATTGTAAGTCATACAATGTAATTAGTAAGAGCAAGACACAATTCAATAGGTACAGATTCTAATTCTCTGTGTATCAAAATACTTGCTTGTGATTATCAGTGTAAATTGTTAAGATTTTATCAAGATTTATTGAGATCATATGTAGATGAACTCAGAAACTACAAAACCACTTAATTCTAATGGACCAAGCACTGATGTACTCACTGATTCCACTGGCTACATGAAGTGTAAGATCTCTGTTAAAGTAGCACTGAGTTTTAATACAAGTATAGCCTTATCACGGGTAAAATATAATCCCCATGGATTAATTTACAAACCCCTTTCAGCATTTTTTCCGACTTGCGATTGGAGAGCTTCTTCCACTGCTTCGTTGCCTTTGTCCTCATCTGTCAAAACATCAACATTAATTGTATATACTTGTTTGAAGTCTCAGTGTCAATGGGTTTTTATGTATTTATTTTAAGACACTTACAGCAGTATTTATAAAGTAAGTGAATGATGAGTAAATATTTCCCATAAGCCAGAAAAATTGTAAGTTGTGCAGAAATGTCCTAAAATTGTTAAAAGATAAAATTCAATTAAATAATCACTATTATGATAACATTTTTCAATATTAAGCAAGCTTGTCTTTTCAAACCTTCAATGAAAAGTCACGTTTACAACATGAGTTCTCCAAACATCTCATCTAATTGCTTCACAAAACAATGATCTTACCTCATTTTTCAGCTGAACCTTGGTAAGGCCAGCGAACTTGAGCAAGAATAAGGCCTTGTCCCTACACAAGGTACCTATAATACATTAAACAAGTTATAATTACAGTTGTGTGACCACAAAACTCATCAAAAACACTATGCACACATCATGTGTTTAAACAATCTTTTGCCCTGTTGTTTGCATGGAACAGTTCACTAAGATTACTTACAACGAGTAATTACCACTACACATAAACCTTGATACTATTACTCCGTATAAACGTAGTGCTAACTGTACCTGGATCATCAGGGTCCTCATTATCACGAGTAATTATCACTACACATAAACCTTGATACTATTACTCCGTATAAACCTAGTGCTAACTGTACCTGGATCATCAGGGTCCTCATTATCACGAGTAATTATCACTACACATAAAACTTGATACTATTACTCAGTATAAACGCAGTGCTAACTGTACCTGGATCATCAGGGGCCTCATTATCACGAGTAATTATCACTACACATAACCCTTGATCCTATTACTCCGTATAAACCTAGTGCTAACTGTCCCTGGATCATCAGGGTCCTCATTATCACTACACCTAAAACTTTGATTCTATTACTCCGTATAAACCCAGTGCTAACTGTAACTGGATCATCAGGGTCCTCATTATCACAAGTAATTATCACTACACATAAAACTTGATACTATTACTCAGTATAAACACAGAGCTAACTGTACCTGGATCATCAGGGTCCTCATTATCAAGAGTAATTATCACTACACATAAAACTTGATGCTATTACTCCGTATAAACCCAGTGCTAACTGTAACTGGATCATCAGGGTCCTCATTATCACTACACATAAAACTTTGATAGTATTACTCCGTATAAACCCAGTGCTAACTGTAACTGGATCATCAGGGTCCTCATTATCACGAGAAATTATCACTACACATAAACCTTGATACTATTACTCAGTATAAACACAGTGCTAACTGTACCTGGATCATCAGGGTCCTCATTCTTTTTCTTCTCACTGTTGGTGATAGCACGCTGACGTAATGCTAGCTGAGGAAATAAAAGCTCATATCTAGAGACAATTTAACTTTTTATAAAATTAATTTGTTCAATGCCGAAGCTTTCTCTTTGGTAGTGTTTTAATTTCTACTTGATTAGCAAATGATGTTTTGATAATTAAATAAATAATAATAACAACCACTAAGTGAGGGATTTTAAATGTGTGTAAAATGTTTGTAAATCTGGAATGATGATATCTTAGAATTAATGATGAGGATGATGATGATAATATGTTGATAAAGATACATATAGAATGATGATTGAAGACTATGATTGAAGATGATGATTGTATGTTGATGGTGATGATTGTATGATGCTGATGATATGATGATGATGATGATGATTGTATGTTGATGGTGATGATTGTATGATGCTGATGATAAGATGATGATGATGATGATGATTGTATGATGATGGTGATGATTGTATGATGATGATGATAATTATATGTTGATGATGATGCTTGTATGTTGATGGTGATTATTGTATGATGATGATGATGATGATTGTTTGATATGATGATGATGACGATGATGATGATTGTATGTTGATGATGATATGATGATGATGATGATTGTATGATGATGATGATTGTATGATGATGATGATACATATGAAATGATGATTGAAGATTATGGATGATGATTGAAGATTATGGATGATGATGATTGTTTGATGAGGAGGATGATGATGTTATGTTGATGAAGATACATATGGAATGACGATTGCATGATGATGATAAAGATTATATGACAATGATGATAATGATGATGATGGATGATGGCAATGATGATTATTGAATGATGATGATTATTGAATAATTATATATGAGAGAGGATGATGACGATGAATGATGATGATGATATTGTTGATGCTGATGATTCTGATGTTGATGATGATGATATTATGATGACAATGAAAATGATTGTGATAATGCTAAATCCATGTCCGTGTGTATATATGTGAGAATGCGTGAATGTCCTGTTTATGTATATGTAATAAAAAAATAAAACCATTACCAAAAAAAAACTAAAAAAAAAGCAACCAGCGAAGTGACTTTCCATATCAAATATTCAGGTAATTAATTCGTTTCATTTGATATACCAGGTTTTAAGTATCCTGGCTAACATTGCTGTACTAACATACATGCATTCGACTAACCAGCTGTGTTCGGAGAGTTTCAGCAGCTGCGTAGGCCTGTGTGATCCCGTCAGTGATAACTGCCTCGCCGCTGGCTTCCACTGTAAACATCAGTCATCAGATATATATATCCTAACGACTATAATTAATCACAAAATATGGAAAAGAATAAAGCTTGGGTAGACCACTGCGAACAAGTTTCACCTAAACACACAAGGAAACTCTAACAGACTAGGTTATGATATGTTGACACTGTGCTTGTCTGGTAATGAACATGACCTGAGTAAATCAAGCAAATGAAACAGAACTTCAGGTCTTATTTTTACAGGAAACATTATCTTTTATAGAAACTACTAAAACTTGACATTCTAAAACAAAATGGAAGTATTTCAATATTTATAAAACAGATATATTGAAAAATTCACTCTCTAGACCACTGGTATATGGAGATTTATAAAGTCAGTGTTACCATATTTATTGAGGTCATCCCTCAGCTGTTGTGTATGCCACACCAGTGCAGCAAACACAGCCACCACAGCTGATTCCACGGCGTCCCCGCCCACCTGGAGACTTTTACTGCCCTCCTTACACCTGTCAGCAAATACAATGTCATATCAGCTTCAAATGTTACTGACAGTTTACTACTACTGTACATTGTGCAAGTAAGTTTAGTGGTAATGACAGAATCTTAGCTTACTTATCAAGAAATTTCTTTGGTAGATCCTCCTCTCTGTTTACAAACTTCCAAAGGAACTCAAGGACATGGCCACCACTATCTTCTGTTACCTGGGTGACAAGGGTAAAACATAGTTAGGTACAATTAAGATGTAGATTTGGTGATAGTTCAAACTTCAAGTCTGACTGATTAACTGAAAACATGCCAATAGGTTTGCAGTACTGTCAAAAGAGCTTTCTCAAGACTCTGGTATGTCAGATAAATGTAAAGAGTTGTGTGGTCGAAACAGAATGATAACTTTGTGATTTGAGTTTCAAAATTTTACTGTTATCTGGCATAGGTTATTTGTGATCACTTTTTTAACAGCAAAGCTTCACTTACAAATTTTCCGGAAAGTGATCGTTGTATTTTGCCAACCATATAGCCTCCTCTAAACAGCGTGGTCCACAATTCACTTCGGAGTACGTCCTGTTCTGCAGACTCCTCTGCATTCATCAGAGGGTCTTTGTCTGCATCTGTAAAACAAAACAAAAAACATCCCAACTTCATAGCAGACGTATCAGTTCAGACACACTAATCATCTGTCACTGTTTGGAAATCACTTTTTAAGCGGTCAGCCTATCAAAATCTTAAAATTTAATAAATAAATGAAAGTACTTAGCTGCTTATATACTGTTAACATTACTTGTTATGATCCTGGTCCTGTGTGTATCTCTAACCATTCTGTAAGGATTAGTACAATGACTGAGAGTTTTGATCAATAACGTACCAAGATCAATGATGTACTACACCTAACTTATTCTACAGAATCCAATATTTTCAAACACAAATCAAGCATAAATACTCCTGGTGTCTAGAAAGCTTACAAGGGTGTGAGTTGAGTGTACATCCACACATTCGACCAAGCATCTTTGTGAGACTGAGTTGAAGGTCAAAAGGCCATGACAGTGGAATGTCTGGGCTACCCCTTGCTGTCACCTAGGTAACAACAAACAATTCATCAGAGTTACATCAGAGATTCCTACATCTTATATCACATACATTCTATAGAGAGATGGACTATTAAATAATTGGTCCTATTTGTTTTTCACTTTATTTCAAATATATTTATTCATCGAACCACAAAAACCGTGCAATTTATTTCCAATTTGGGTATATGAACTGTACATAATCTGTTATTGACATCATTGTATGTCATAAAGTTCACCTGTATTTTCCCTTCTTTTCTCATCCCCTTGCACCTGACCTATTGTGTCACTGTGCGACACCGTGTGTTCTTGTAATATTTATTACAAATAAACGTTACAAGCAAATCAATGATTTAACAAGAAGCCCATGGAGCCTGTACTGCTCATCTGTTCTTTTTAAAAACTATCAGCTAACTTTGAGACCACGGTAGCCTCTTCAGGTTTCCTATGACCATTATAATTCAACAATAAAACTTATTTAAAGCAACAAGAGTTAATTACATTTGCATAATGCTGATCTGTTGGCGTTGAGAAACATTCAACAAATGTGTGAGCCAATCACAGGCAAGGGTGATTATCAAAGGATTCCAAATAAAGACAAAAAACACTCTACAGCAGTTCTCCACTGGTAGCGCTTGAAAGGGAAAAGTTGACAGATTATGGATGCTGCAGCACGGCCCAAGCTCACTTGGACCTTCAGACCAGGCGAGCTCACTTGGACCTTCAGACCAGGCGAGCTCACTTGGACCTTCAGACCAGGCGAGCTCACTTGGACCTTCAGACCAGGCGAGCTAACAATAATCACGACATTTTGTGTATTCTCACTTCACATTTGTGTTGTACAAAAACAGTTTTCTTAGATCTTTGGTCTTTATTTTTTTCTAAAACCATATTATATGTCAATGGAACAAAGCTTTCCTTACTTTAAATTTATACCCCCACTCTGTGTTACTGCTGTCAGAGTGGAACAGGAAATGCAGGTGTGGCCCGCTAAAGTTGATTTGACGTGGCCACTTGGGTGTGCCAACTTTCTGGTCAAACCTCATCTGTAAGCCTTTAGCGTCAGTAAAAACTAGGTAATCATACCTACAAAAATAAAGTTAATTGAGAAATTTTGTAGTCATACCTACCGATTAATTAAATAAGAGATAATGTAGTCATCTGTACAAAAACTTAATTGTCCGTTTCATAGTTTCATAATCAACAGATGAGTTGAAATTAATAACTACACATTCCATTCTTAACAGAGATAGTTATTAATAGTTATTAATTCAATCCTTACAAATATAAGAACAGGAAAACTCTTTTAAAAGCAATCGCCTAGAACTCCATGTAAGAGGTAGTGTGCATACCGTCTCTCTGTTTCACATCTGGCGTCAAAGTCAACCATGAATTTATCAGCACCAGGACAGCTAAAAACCTGAAATATTTACCATAACAGGTTTACATATAGTATACCTAGCCAAGAGCTGTATAATGAATTTAGGAGATCAGTTTTTGAAAAGTAAAACAGTTGTATGTTTATCTGAAATGTTGGTGACACATCAATACTGAAGAACACATATTAGAAAAATATGAATCAATGAAATTTTCATAATTATTAAACTGAAAACACAGGATTCAAAGTGATTGTCTTCAACTCATATTGACAAAACTATCTTTATTTCTCTACAGAATTTTCCAAAAGCTGTATTAGACCTGATGCCCCATTGAACTATTGAGTCCTGGTATAATGGTGACAAGGTCTGGATATACAGTGGCAACTCAACCTACCTTTGTAAGATGTTGATCATTTTCAAGCTACACTGTTACACTAAGCCCTCTGTATCAGATGTTGATCATTTTCAGCCTACACTGCTACACTAAGCACTCTGTATCAGATGTTGATCATTCTCAAGCTACACTGCTACACTAAGCCCTCTGTATCAGATGTTGATCATTTTCAGGCTACACTGCTACACTAAGCACTCTGTATCAGATGTTGATCATTCTCAAGCTACACTGTTACACTAAGCCCTCTGTATCAGATGTTGATCATTCTCAAGCTACACTGTTACACTAAGCCCTCTGTATCAGATGTTGATCATTCTCAAGCTACACTGCTACACTAAGCCCTCTGTATCAAATGTTGATCATCATCAAGCTACACTGCTACACTAAGCCCTCTGTATCAGATGTTGATCATTCTCAAGCTACACTGCTACACTAAGCCCTCTGTATCAAATGCTGATCATCATCAAGCTACACTGCTACACTAAGCCCTCTTTATCAGATGTTGATCATTCTCAAGCTACACTGTTACACCAAGCCCTCTGTATCAGATGTTGATCATTCTCATGCTACACTGTTACACTAAGCCCTCTGTATCAGACGTTGATCATTCTCAAGCTACACTGTTACACTAAGCCCTCTGTATCAAATGTTGATCATTCTCATATATGGACCATTAAAATTAAATTACCTATGTGAGATGTTGATTGAGATGTTCATAATTCTCATAGCTGCACCACTAACATTTACCTACCTGGGTGAGATGTTGATTGTTCTCATAGCTGTGAGACGATTCAACCTCCCACGTCCTCAGCACAATGTCCTCCGTCTGTACTGTGTCCCAGTGTTCACTGCTGATCTGTAACCATAGCAAAGACTCATAGAAACAAATTCTATATTGACAAGATTCATGATTACAACAGAAAATGTTTTTCAAATTAATTACTTACATTTGGGAAGAGTGAAGGGAGTAAGGCTGCCAATTTCTGCAGCTCCGTGGCCAGAGGTTGGAACTTCTGTATCAGTACAACTCGTGACTCAGAGTCGCAGTAGTCACACAGGTACGTCAACGTCAACACCTGTACAGGTAAAAATTACAGGTAAGTTATCAGATACACATACTTTGGTGTCAAAAATTGGAAAGACAAAAGAAAGTGGAATTCCACATAAAAAATACCAGTGTTATCTGTACTGATAGACCAGAAGTTTGAAAACAAACACTTGTTCAGTTAGATAGCAATCAGTGACATCAATTTAACACTTAATTACAAACCAATGCTATGTTATGTCATTTAAGAAAGTAATTTATTTCCCCCCAAAAATAAGGTGCATGTGTATTAAACTTGAATTTGTAAAATAAGTATTGTTTTGCTACTGGGAAATACTGCAAAAATTCATAGCACAAAACCTGCATCAGCAATTCAGTGGAGATGCACTCAGATTTGGGTCTGCCTTAGTGGAGATTTCTGAGATACCTAAGACGACATCTCTCAATTAGTCAACCATTTTATCTGGCAGTAGACTTACCAACTGTCTCACCACTGTGCCAAGGAGTGATGTCTCAGCAGGGAGGATCAGCTCTTTCTGTAAACAGTAACAGATAAAAATAGTCCCATAAATCTTCAAAAACAAAAATCTTCAAAAGTGTCCGGAATTTTGTGCCTTTGTTAATGGATATTTTCCCCCATCCTTGTACATTAAGCAATGATCTTATTGCAAATAATGTTCATGATGATATTATCATTCTAAAATTACGCAATTTGATTCATGCAAAGTAGAGGAAATGTTCACAAAGTTTAATTTGAAACTTGAAGAAAATTATCTATTTTGATACAGTTTGACTCACAACTTTCTCCACATCCTTTTTCTGCATCAGTTTGCATGCTTCTGTTGCTCTGTCGGCCACAAAGCCAGAGTCTGAAACAATATAGATATCAGAAATCTGTAAAACGTACATTGGCTGAAAGGAAATTTTACAGTTAAGATACATGAACTGGGTATCATTTTTAATCAGTGGTGATCTGAGACAGAAGGAATTGATATCACTAACACTGAGAGGTGACCTTTGAGAAGACAATTTTGATGTCACACTGAAAGAAAACAAGACCTTGACATCACTGACCATGAACGCTGAAAAGGTCAGATGACCTTGATTTAACTTACACTGAAAGGTCAGATGACCTTGATTTAACTTACACTGAAAAGTCAGATGACCTCTACTTCACTTACACTGAGTGGTGACCTGAGAACAGACAGCCTTGATGTCCGCCATGTTGCTAGGAGTTGTTTTGGCACTGTCGATCTCATCAGGAGCCATTTGTGACCATGCCCAGGCAAGCAGAGAGGTCTGAAGAGAGGACACAAGCTGGAGAAGATGTACAACCTGTTCATGGCTGTGGCCCCTCTCCATCATCAGACAGAACTCATGGAATGTCACGTTTATCATCGTCTCCATTATCTCCAGCACTGGGTCTATGTGGAATGTCTAAAACATAAACCACAGATTGAATCAATTCCCCATAATGGCGTATTGCTCCTAAAGATGTAGTCGAACCTCGTTATCTCGAAGTCGACGGGATCGTTGGGAAACTTTGAGTTATCCGAGTATTCGAGTTAAGCGAGTTCCTATGTTTGGCATAAAGCTTGCTAACAATATGAGGCTATATATGTCATTGATTTCTCTGACAATCAACGTATTTAAACAGTCGGATAAATGACAAAAAGGTAACTTTATAAAATAAAAAATAACAACTTATTCATAAATTAATTAATTAATATTACAATAAACACACATGCTGTCTCCGATGATAGAAATATCAATGCGGAAATGAGCAAGTCTTTACACAAATCACTGTACTGGAGCGTACGCGTTGGATTGCTCAGTTGATTTCGACATTTCACAAATGGGTATGAGTTAATCAAGAAACATATCCACATTTATAGACCCCAATGACACTTGACATCTCCTCAACACGACTTACTCAACAATAATTAACGTATTGTTCCTATTATCTCTCAATTAGTAATCAGTGCCATACAAGCTCCTGTAAAAACATAAACCGGCGAACCAGTCCTAAGTTGTGATTTTTACTGTGGAGCTTATTTACGCATGACCGCACACTGTGACCCATTTTCCGGTTAGAATGTGTCGGCAGCTTTGGTGTAAATAAAGTGCCATTCAAATTGTTTATGGGCTCGCAGTGAGTACTAATTGTTGTTAATCAACATTGATGAAGTTTGTTTCTTTATTTGAACAAAGTGTTTTTACAGTCAAGCACATTTTAATGCCATAAGTTAAATAGAAGTAATTATGACCGAGCATAAGCTGCTCATTTAGAACGATGTTTACCGTAGCACTGCGTCTAATATGTATCAAATAATTAAGAATACATGATAGACTTGTGAATCTTAAGAAACTTCGAGGTAGGAGATATTTATATGTAGGATTTACCTTGTTGGGACCTATGTTTCACTTCGGGATATCCAAGTTTTTCGAGTTTTCAGAGTTCAAATTATCAGAGTTTTTATTACTAAGATTAAGAAGAGTTTTGGCCGGGACCGATGAAATACTTTGAGTTAAACGGGGTCTTCGAGTTATACGAGTTCGAGATAACGAGGTTCGACTGTATCTGCATATGAACTCTGAACACAAAGTCTAACACAAATGTTGTATGGGAGTACTGACTGACACCTCTGGCCCTCCAGTATTGTGGCTGGGGCATAAAAACAATTTTTTGAAATTGGTCGACAAACATGGATAATTTACAGCTTAATTAGATAAATAATGTCCAATCCTACAAAACTCACCAGTACATCTGATGGAGTTTTGGGGAGGTCAAGAAGTCCACTGGGGTCGACAGAGCTAAAAAATTGACACAGGGACTGGAATACCAACATCACAGATGGGGCCTCAGACAGACTCTGTAAGATATAAACACATTTCTTAAATAAAGTAATAGCATAATGTTCAAAGCTCCATACCTTCTAGTCTTTTTCAGCAGATACCCCCCCACCCCACCCCGTACTTTACAAGCCAAAGAAAAAATGGCCTTTTATACCTTTAAAATAACTTTCAATTGTACAGGGACCATTAAAAACAAATCTATATATAATAAGATTGCCTCCTTTTGTCAATATTTTAGAACTATTAAAACTTATGAAATTCCTGTATGCTTCTTAATGACAGACTGATTTCACTCAATTAAGAACTTGGCCTTTATCTTTGTATAATATCAACGTGGAGTAAAATTCATAAGAATATGGTCCTCATAGTTATTGTGTAAAAACTATCAACCAATCAGAGTATGGAATGATATTTAAGCAAGTTATCTTGCAGAACACCTACTATATTACAAAACTTTGATGGGAGTGTAAAATTCTTACCTCAACATTCTGCATCATACAAAATAACTGCTTCCTTCTAGTGTCTTTGTCAGGAAAGAATACTGCAGCACCTGAAGATGGGATAAAATGGTGTGTACATAGTCACTGTGTTCAATGTGTTTAAAGAATAAACAAAATCTCTTTACATGTTTTTAACATCTTGAATTCCATTTCATCAACAGATATACTATTATTCTATTATGGCCCTTTCCCGAGGGAACTGTTCTCTTATAGTGTTGTCTGGGGAGGTATTGTGCCCGAGCCGTTAGGCGAGGGCACTATACCACACCAGACAACACTATAAGAGAACTGTTCCCGAGGGAAAGGGTCATAATAGATTTAGTACATCACATGACTGTACTAACTGTGACTGCAAATTGTGTCGCCTGCTTCATTTTCATACATTGCTGAGCCTCTGCAAAGCAATCGGCATTCCCGGTCCCGAATCTCGAAGCCATTTTGGCAGACGACAACAATGAACTGAAAGTAGAACATGTACAGCGCCCCCTAGGAGAAGGGGCGCAACTCTTGGCGTCACGCTACTTTTCCCGCAGTCTCAGCGGTCCAAAAAAAAGGTATAGTGCCCGTCTCCAGGTATAGTTCCCGTCGTCAAGGGCGGATGCTAACTATACCAAATAGAGCAAGGGTAGTTATCCAATAGCTATCCTAGTAATTATCATGTGATGTACTAATGTACTTTAGAGATTGTGTACTAACCGTCTATGATAAGCTGACGACAAAGCTTATGGAGTTTGGGACTTTTGTCTTTCTCCGGTCCATCAATGACTTTACAAAGATGCTGGAACAGAGCTTCTGCTGCTATCTAGAAACAATAACCAACAGCATTACAAACATATAAGCTAACTTTGATATGGACAATCAATACTTACATCAAGAGCCACCCCCAAATAAACAATACCTAACAGTGGACCAGCGCTGGCGACTGCTGTACGTAACAGTGGACCAGGGCTGGCGACTGCTGTCCCTAACAGTGGACCAGGGCTGGTGACTGCTGTACCTAACAGTGGACCAGGGCTGGCAACTGCTGTACCTAACAGTGGACCAGCGCTGGCGACTGCTGTACGTAACAGTGGACCAGGGCTGGCGACTGCTGTACCTAACAGCGGACCAGGGCTGGTGTCTGCTGTACCTAACAGTGGACCACGGCTGGCAACTGCTGTACCTAACAGCGGACCAGGGCTGGCGACTGCTGTCCCTAACAGCGGACCAGGGCTGGGGACTGCTGTACCTAACAGTGGCCCAGGGCTGGCAACTGCTGTACGTAACAGTGGACCAGGGCGGGCGACTGCTGTACCTAACAGGGGACCAGGGCTGGCAACTGCTGTCCCTAACAGTGGACCAGGGCTGCCGACTGCTGTACGTAACAGTGGACCAGCGCTGGCGTCTGCTGTACGTAACAGTGGACCAGGGCGGGCGACTGCTGTACCTAACAGTGGGCCAGCGCTGGCGACTGCTGTACTTAACAGTGGACCAGGGCTGGCGCCTGCTGTACCTAATAGTGGGCCAGGGCTGGCGACTGCTGTACGTACCAGTGGACCAGGGCTGGTGACTGTTGTGCCTTACAGTGGACCAGGGCTGGTGACTGCGGTACCTAACAGTGGACCAGGGGTGGTGACTGCTGTACCTAACAGTGGACCAGGGCAATTTTAGCTTATTTTTGCTATTTCATTACATAACATTACTGCACTAAGTCCCAATATACAGCATATGTTCTTAGCATATATGTGTTATTTAAAATTATGTAATTATGGACCACAGAAATATTTTTGTTTATGTTCAGTGTTGTACATTTTCATTCACTGTAAACAATTACAGGCTGGTTAAGTCTTTCTCTAAAGCCTCTTTAATAAATCTGGTTGACACTATCTCTGAATCAAACAACATGGGTTCAGCCATGCCAGCTACATACATATGTAAATGAAACTGGAAGTAGTCTTTGTATACCTTCCTCTCGCCGGACAGTGAGGACAGGGCGGGCAGCAGACAGTACAGAAGTTGTAGAGTCAACAGGGCACACGTCTGCCACTTCTCCTCAGTCCTGTATTAAAGCAAAGTAAACAAGGTACTCATCCATTTTATCTTTATTGAAGAATGATTTCTGATGAATCTTTATATTTCATTTTGAGTAGTGCATCTTATCACACTAGACATACCTATTAGACAGGCACAATGTTACAGAATAATAGAACAGAATTTGTTACAAAGAAGACATGAGCTATGGATGCTATTATAATTACAGTGTTCACACAATAATATCATCAGGGATTTCACGTCAATACCAAACTGCTGAATATTAATATACTCTAAGTGAAAAAGTAGCCATGAGAATCCTGACCGTTCCCTGAAGGAGTTATACAGTTCCCATATAGTGTCCAGAGGTGTGTCAGTAAACTCCAGGTACTCCGGGCGACCCGCAGATATTCCTCGCTTGGATGCCTGAGAAAACAGAAATTTAGTAAATATGTTTATTACAACATCTAAAGGATTTGAATTAAATATAACATACAAAGAAAACAAAAGTAGGGTTCTTGAATATGTCTTTACATCAAAGATATTGTGTGCATGTGTAAAGGAGGTACAAAAAATAACTTCATTATGCAATATATACATACCCAGTTTTATTTTTTGATGGGAATATATAGATAAATCATCATTTAAATGCTCAATATCATTGACAAGAGCAGATGGTAGCTTTATAAATACATACTTATACAAGAAATATAACTTTTTAAAAAGAAAAGAAATAAAGGTCAGTGGTTATTCATCTTCCAAGGGGTATATGTTCACCCAGAATCTATGTTGGTCAAGAGACAGCTTTGCTATAAACAATTTGACCCCTGTGCAGAGGTCCCAGATGATTTTTGAGACACCCATGTCATTTATATCCACTGTCACCTTAGCACTGCCAAACATTGTATAAGTCACCTGCAGCCAATCTGGGTTGATTCTGTTACAATACTGACACTCACCTGATCTTGTGAGAGATCCACCAGAAATTCCAATACACACTGTATAATGTCCAGACTCGTGCAGGCCCTCTCCGAGCTGGGAGCATGTCGTACCTGTCAATCACGTCATATCATTTCCATAGTTGTCCAAAAGTAAGAATTGATCTTGCTACAGATCACAATATGTCCTTACACAATATAAATATTATATACATATGTAAATTACAAACCTTTCACATATCAAACTAATATAATTATAGTAGCTTAAATTACAAAATTAACACTATGAGACTACACATTATAATCTTACACTTTAAGAGCTCACATTACAATCTTATACTTTGAGAGCTCCCATTTAATTAAAACAAGAGGCCCAGAGGGCCTGTATTGCTCACCTGAATATATGTTTAAAATAATTGGTATGAAGATATAGCACTCCATGGTTGGCGCTTTAAGTACATATAAAATTTCAGAAAGATCCATCAAGTACTTGAAATATAGCAAGAACAAACTTCAAACAGAGCCCCACCCCTATTCTCTAAGGGGGTCCCCTTGACCCAAGGATGCTCCAGACTAAATTCGGATACAATCCCTAAATCCCTATGGTAGAAGAAAGACTTTAAAAGTTTTACCTCTATTTCCCCTATTGGGCCCCACCTCTCTGCTTCTAGGGGGGTCAGACCCACAGTTTATACAAAATTGGTTCCCCTTCACCCAAGGATGCTTCAGACCAAATATGGAACAAATCCTTTCATTCCTACAGAAGAAGGATTTTATAGAATTTGCTATATTACCCCTATTGGGCCCTGCCCCTCAGCCCCAAGTGGGGGGGGGGGGGGGGGGGGGGGGCATGACCCACCATTTATACAAAATTTGTTCCCCTTCCCCCAAGGACGCTTTTGACCAAATTTGGTTAAAATCAGCTCAGTCGTTCATGACTAGTAGCGTTCTAAAGGAACATGGACATACCTCATTGTCCTACCCAACATGGACATTCCTCATTGTCCTACCCAACATGTACATACCTCATTGTCCTACCCAACATGGACATACCGCATTGTCCTCCCCAACATGTACATACCTCATTGTCCTACCCAACATGGACATACCTCATTGTCCTACCCAACATGTACATACCTCATTGTCCTACCCAACATGTACATACCTCATTGTCCTACCCAACATGTACATACCTCATTGTCCTACCCAACATGTACATACCTCATTGTCCTACCCAACATGTACATACCTCATTGTCCTACCCAACATGTACATACCTCATTGTCCTACCCAACATGTACATACCTCATTGTCCTACCCAACATGTACATACCTCATTGTCCTACCCAACATGTACATACCTCATTGTCCTACCCAACATGTACATACCTCATTGTCCTACCCAACATGTACATACCTCATTGTCCTACCCAACATGTACATACCTCATTGTCCTACCCAACATGTACATACCTCATTGTCCTACCCAACATGTACATACCTCATTGTCCTACCCAACATGTACATACCTCATTGTCCTACCCAACATGTACATACCTCATTGTCCTACCCAACATGTACATACCTCATTGTCCTACCCAACATGTACATACCTCATTGTCCTACCCAACATGTACATACCTCATTGTCCTACCCAACATGTACATACCTCATTGTCCTACCCAACATGTACATACCTCATTGTCCTACCCAACATGTACATACCTCATTGTCCTACCCAACATGTACATACCTCATTGTCCTACCCAACATGTACATACCTCATTGTCCTACCCAACATGTACATACCTCATTGTCCTACCCAACATGTACATACCTCATTGTCCTACCCAACATGTACATACCTCATTGTCCTACCCAACATGTACATACCTCATTGTCCTACCCAACATGTACATACCTCATTGTCCTACCCAACATGTACATACCTCATTGTCCTACCCAACATGTACATACCTCATTGTCCTACCCAACATGTACATACCTCATTGTCCTACCCAACATGTACATACCTCATTGTCCTACCCAACATGTACATACCTCATTGTCCTACCCAACATGTACATACCTCATTGTCCTACCCAACATGTACATACCTCATTGTCCTACCCAACATGTACATACCTCATTGTCCTACCCAACATGTACATACCTCATTGTCCTACCCAACATGTACATACCTCATTGTCCTACCCAACATGTACATACCTCATTGTCCTACCCAACATGTACATACCTCATTGTCCTACCCAACATGTACATACCTCATTGTCCTACCCAACATGTACATACCTCATTGTCCTACCCAACATGTACATACCTCATTGTCCTACCCAACATGTACATACCTCATTGTCCTACCCAACATGTACATACCTCATTGTCCTACCCAACATGTACATACCTCATTGTCCTACCCAACATGTACATACCTCATTGTCCTACCCAACATGTACATACCTCATTGTCCTACCCAACATGTACATACCTCATTGTCCTACCCAACATGTACATACCTCATTGTCCTACCCAACATGTACATACCTCATTGTCCTACCCAACATGTACATACCTCATTGTCCTACCCAACATGTACATACCTCATTGTCCTACCCAACATGTACATACCTCATTGTCCTACCCAACATGTACATACCTCATTGTCCTACCCAACATGTACATACCTCATTGTCCTACCCAACATGTACATACCTCATTGTCCTACCCAACATGTACATACCTCATTGTCCTACCCAACATGTACATACCTCATTGTCCTACCCAACATGTACAACCTCATTGTCCTACCCAACATGTACATACATCATTGTCCTACCCAACATGTACATACCTCATTGTCCTATCCAACATGTACATACATCATTGTCCTACCCAACATGTACATACCTCATTGTCCTACCCAACATGGACATACCTCATTGTCCTACCCAACATGTACAACCTCATTGTCCTACCCAACATGGACATACCTTTGCATCATTATCCTCTACAAGAACTGACTTGCGCGTGAAGCCATAGAACTTTATTCCAATAATACCAATCTTGTTTGCACTCTCATGTCTTGGTTCCAGAAACTTCACCAATATATACTGCAAAAAGGTTAATCACATAAGGTAGAAACATTTGACTACCAACTTAATCTGATCAAGTCTTTTATTTGATTACCATCTTAATCTGATCAAGTCTTTTATTTGATTACCATCTTAATCTGATCAAGTCTTTTATTTGATTACCATCTCAATTTGGTCTGGTATTGTTTCTCAATTTGGTCTGGTATTGTTTCCAGGGATTGCTTACTGTTACATGTATATGTTAAGGATCTATTGGCATGTTAGCGAGCCAGCAATAATCTCACATGTTAGCGAGCCAGCAATCATCTCACATAATAGCGAGCCAGCAATAATCTCACATGTTAGCAAGCCAGCAATCATCTCACATGTTAGCGAGCCAGCAATAATCTCACATGTTAGCAAGCCAGCAATAATCTCACATGTTAGTGAGCCAGCAATAATCTCACATGTTAGCGAGCCAGCAATAATCTCACATGTTAGCAAGCCAGCAATAATCTCACATGGTAGCAAGCCAGCAATCATCTCACATGTTAGCGAGCCAGCAATCATCTCACATGTTAGCGAGCCAACAATAATCCCACATGTTAGCAAGCCATCAATAATCTCACATGTTAGCGAGCCAGCAATAATCTCACATGTTAGGAGTTAATAGTCATACATGATAATTACATCAAGTTAACACATTAAGGCGATTGATTCCTCAAAATAGAATAATGTTTTAAGTATAATATCCCATAGAAAAACCTTTTCTATGATTAAATGAATTAATGCAATATAAAAAGCTATCTCAATAGTTGACTCACCTGACCAACTGGGTGCCAAGAAACAGGTATTTCCACCTCATCACTGTGAACAGGAAGACAGGAGGAATGAATGAACTATTATTGACTTCGTATATGTGACTTATTGTAACACAGTATGTATATGTGACTTATTGTAACACAGTATGTATATGTGACCTATTGTAACACAGTATGTATATGTGATCTATTATAACACAGTATGTATATGTGACCTATTGTAACACAGTATATATATGTGACCTATTATAACACAGTTTGTATATGTGACTTATTGTAACACAGTATGTATATGTGACTTATTGTAACACAGTATGTATATGTGACCTATTGTAAAACAGTTTGTATATATGACCTATTGTAACACAGTTTGTATATGTGACCTATCGTAACACAGTATGTATATGTGACCTATTATAACACAGATTGTATATGTGACCTATTGTAACACAGTTTGTACATGTGACCTATTGTAACACGGTTTGTATATGTGACCTATTGTAACACAGTATGGATATGTGACCTATTGTAACACAGTATGTATATGTGATCTATTATAACACAGTATGTATATGTGACCTATTGTAACACAGTATGCATATGTGACCTATTGTAACACAGTATGTATATGTGACTTATTGTAACACAGTTCGTATATGGGACTTATTGTAACACAGTATGTATATGTGACTTATTGTAACACAGTTTGTATATGTGACCTATCGTAACACAGTATGTATATGTGACCTATTATAACACAGATTGTATATGTGACCTATTGTAACACAGTTTGTCTATGTGACCTATTATAACACAGTTTGTATATGTGACTTATTGTAACACAGTATGTATATGTGGCCTATTATAACACAGTATGTATATGTGACCTATTGTAACACAGTTTGTCTATGTGACCTATTATAACACAGTTTGTATATGTGACTTATTGTAACACAGTATGTATATGTGACTTATTGTAACACAGTATGTATATGTGGCCTATTATAACACAGTATGTATATGTGACCTATTGTAACACAGTTTGTCTATGTGACCTATTATAACACAGTTTGTATATGTGACTTATTGTAACACAGTTTGTATATGTGACCTATTGTAACACAGTATTTATATGTGACCTATTGTAACACAGTATGTATATGTGACTTATTGTAACACAGTATGTATATGTGGCCTATTATAACACAGTATGTATATGTGACCTATTGTAACACAGTTTGTACATGTGACCTATTGTAACACAGTATGTATATGTGACTTATTGTAACACAGTTCGTATATGGGACTTATTGTAACACAGTATGTATATGTGACCTATTGTAACACAGTATGTGGTAACAAACTTATTAGTATTCTGTCTTGTTGGGATTGTTGTTTATTTCACATGAGCGGGAGATAATGTCCCATATTAGATTTCAATGAATATTCTTGTATCTGTATTATACTTACCAGTCATCTTCAAATGTAAAGTAGGCCACAGGGTTGTCTGGTTTACCAGCTTTCCTCGCATTTCTGTGTGAAATAACGTAGTCAGTCAGATGATGTGTACAATCAGAAGCTAAAAGCTAGATCTTACCTAACTCAACGCCATTGTCCAGGTACAGCTATGCCATATCACCAATCAGTAAATCAGTGAACAGGATGACTAAATTGCCCCTACATAACCAATGGTATAGTCATTTATGTAGCAGGAAATTCCCAAATCACTAATGAACAGATCGACAGTACATTTAACAACTAAATCGGACCAAAAACTCAATTTGTCTTCATTAAATTTATATGTTAGATTATCTGATAAGAATGTACAGGTAATAGCCACTGTCTGTTTCAATTTTCGTCAACACTGTTAACATAGCATTATTAAATGAAGGTTGGCCTACCAAACAAGACTGAAATAACCAATCCCTCAGCAATTCATACCCACTTAATTGTTAACAACGATAGATAATTATGAGTATGTGGAAGTATCCAGGCTTCCATACCAGGCACTGTGTAGTGAGGTTGATGTTGTTATACTCACCGGACTTGAACACAGAATTCATAGTCGATCCTACTCCAGTTATCATAGGCCTGGAACCGATCTACATGGCTTGCCATCTCAAACTCTCTGCTGGATTAAATTAATTGTATAATTTTTTTACATTTACAGAAATAAAGGTTCAATGATCACCAGATCTTGTAATTACAAAAAGAAACATTCATAACTATGGACCAAGGGAAACCTTCATATGAAATTCGAGAAAAATCCATCCAATACTTTTTGAAAAATAGCAACAACTAGAATTGCTATGGACTGAACAGACCACAGTTGAAAGGCAATTCGAATAGGCCACCATATGAGAAGTATGTTGTATTTCTTTTGGCAAAAAATTCAAGTTGTTGTCTTTTATGTCACAACATTATTTAACTGTTTCAACATAAGAGTAATCCAGATTTCATAAATGGGTCTGAAACCAATGGATGCTTTACATCATACAGGTTTATATCCTTCCTGTGTTTTCTGTTTATTTTTAAAAAACAAATACATAGTAACTACTGGTGATAGTCACCTGTCCCTGTACACAAACACAAGGCCTCGGCGTGCTCCCTTCATCCCACTCACAACCTAAAACAGATTGATATCACTCAGCTCAAAGTTACAAGTTTTCCTTCTTTTGGAAGAAAATGGCAAATTCAGGTGTATCTAAAATTTCACATGTAAAAATAACATCTGAATACAGAAAATTTATAAGAAATGCATTAGTGTTAAAAAGTAGCCATGCCTGATCTACAAGACCTGGGCATTGAAAACACCAAAGGTTTGCTGGTTTTGAAAATAGTTATGAATTCTACATAAAATCTGATGTTAAAGTGTTGAGTTGACAAATCTTAATTAGCATAAAGACATTTTGTTACCTTTATCCTGAGTCTTGTCAGCTGTATGTACTCCGAGGACTTAAATATCATGTTGACTTTTGTGTGACCTTCGGCTGACAGGTAGGAGGCTAAAAATATTATCATATTGAATTGCACAGAAAAAGAAATACAAACTATAAAAAGAAATAGAAAATAGACCTTATACTCCTTTTATGGAAACATAAAAATTATAGTTTTTTTTTTTTTGGTTTATGCAAAAATGTAATGATTTCACTAAGAAATGCAGAAAGTGATCCTAAGAGTGTAGTTTGGTTACTTTGCACAGGGGGTGAGGTCCACGCCTGATTGAGAACGTTTTCTGCACAGGAGTTGACATCGGTCTGTCCACCATCAGTACCAGCCAGACTCACCTGTAAGGGGTGACCTACACACAGAAAAAGGTTTCATTAAACAGATTGTTTTATGAGTAAACCCGTGTATAGACAATATCAATACTGGTAGCAGACCAGTTAACTATAATGAGAAGAGATAACCATGACAACATCAACTGGGATATCAGCAAGTTTAATCACGTGTTTACATGTTTCGGCCCACTAGGTGGGTCGTCATCAGAACAGTTTACTATAAATAAATACTCTCAGAACACTGTAGATTATACTTTACACAGGTAGTTCACATTTAAACATACCTGACTTTTCCCAGCACAAATCTCTCGCCTGAAACATTTTGTTTAGCAGCTTTGTACATGGCTGAACAGTGTCTGGGTTTTCTGCATGAAAAATAAAGCAAAGTATAAAACAAAGCAGAATGTTAACCACACCAATGGTAGAATTCACTACCAGTAGCACAGTAGTTCTTACTCTCACCATATGTGACCTATTGTAACACAGTATGTATATGTGACCTATTGTAACACAGTATGTGGTAACAATAGGTCACATATACATACTGTGTTACAATAGGTCACATATACAAACTGTGTTACAATAGGTCACATATACATACTGTGTTACAATAGGTCACATATACAAACTGTGTTACAATAGCTACTGTGCTACTGGTAGTGAATTCGACCATTGGTGAGAGTGAGAACTACTGTGCTACATTGGTGAGAGTGAGACCTACTGTGCTACTGGCAGTGAATTCTTTCATTGGTGAGAGTGAGAACTACTGTGCAAATGGTAGAATTCACTACCAGTAGCAGAGTAGTTCTTACTCTCACCAATGGTTGAATTCACTACCAGTAGCACAGTAGCTCTTACTCTCACCAATGAAAGAATTCACTACCTAACACAGTATGTATATGTGACCTATTGTTACCACATACTGTGTTACAATAGGTCACATATACAAACTGTGTTACAATAGGTCACATATACAAACTGTGTTACAATAGGTCACATATACAAACTGTGTTACAATAGGTCACATATACAAACTGTGTTACAATAGGTCACATATACATACTGTGTTACAATAGGTCAAACTACTGTGCTACTGGTAATGAATTCTACCATTGGTGAGAGTAAGGACTACTGTGCTACTGGTAAGGAATTCTTCCATTGGGGAGAGTGAGAACTACTGCGCTGCTGGTAGTGAATTCTACCATTGGTGTGGTTAACATTCTGCTTTATTTTATACTTTGCTTTATTTTTCATGCAGAAAACCCAGACACTGTTCAGCCATGTACAAAGCTTCTAAACAAAATGTTTCAGGCGAGAGATTTGTGCTGTGAAAAGTCAGGTATGTTTAAATGTGAACTACCTGTGTAAAGTATAATCTACAGTGTTCCTACTGTGCTACTGGTAGTGAATTCGACCATTGGTGAGAGTGAGAACTACTGTGCTACATTGGTGAGAGTGAGACCTACTGTGCTACTGGCAGTGAATTCTTTCATTGGTGAGAGTAAGAGCTACTGTGCTACTGGTAAGGAATTCTTCCATTGGGGAGAGTGAGAACTACTGCGCTGCTGGTAGTGAATTCTACCATTGGTGTGGTTAACATTCTGCTTTGTTTTAGACTTTGCTTTATTTTTCATGCAGAAAACCCAGACACTGTTCAGCCATGTACAAAGCTGCTAAACAAAATGTTTCAGGCGAGAGATTTGTGCTGTGAAAAGTCAGGTATGTTTAAATGTGAACTACCTGTGTAAAGTATAATCTACAGTGTTCTGAGAGTATTTATTTATTGTAAACTGTTCTACTACTGTGCTACTGGTAGTGAATTCTACCAAGGGTGAGAGTAAGAACTACTGTGCTACTGGCCATTGGGGAGAGTGAGAACTACTGCGCTGCTGGTAGTGAATTCTACCATTGGTGATAGTGAGAACTACTGTGCTACTGGCAGTGAATTCTTTCATTGGTGAGAGTAAGAGCTACTGTGCTACTGGTAGTGAATTCTTTCATTTGTGAGAGTAAGAACTACTGTGCTACTGGTAATGAATTCTACCATTGTTGATAGTAAGAACTACTGTGCTACTGGTAGTGAACTGGTAGTGAATTCTACCATTGGTGGGAGTGAGAACTACTGTGCTGCTGGTAGTGAATTCTACCATTGGTGTGGTTAACATTCACTACCAGTAGCACAGTAGTTCTTGCTCTCACCAATGGTTGAATTCACTACCAGTGGCACAGTAGTTCTTTCTCTCTCCAATGGTAGAATTCACTACCAGTAGCAGAGTAGTTCTTACTCTCACCAATGGTTGAATTCACTACCAGTAGCACAGTAGCTCTCACTCTCCCCAATGGTAGAATTCCCTACCAGTAGCACAGTAGTTCTTACTCCCCCCAATGGTAGAATTCACTTCCAGTAGCACAGTAGTTCTAACTCTCACCTATGGAAGAATGTGATACCAGTAGCACGGTAGTTCTTCCTCTCACCAATGGTAGAATTCACTACCATTAGCACAGTAGTTCTAGCTCTCACCAATGGAAGAATGTGATACCAGTAGCACGGTAGTTCTTCCTCTCACCAATGGTAGAATTCACTACCATTAGCACACTAGTTCTAACTCTCACCAATGGAAGAATGTGATACCAGTAACACAGTAGTTCTTACTCTCACCAATGAAAAACTTCACTACCAGTAGCACAGTAGTTCTTGCTCTCACCAATGGTTGAATTCACTACCAGTAGCACAGTAGCTCTCACTCTCCCCAATGGTAGAATTCCCTACCAGTAGCACAGTAGTTCTTACCCTCACCAATGGTAAAAATGGCAAATTCAGGTGTATCTAAAATTTCATATATGTGACCTATTGTAACACAGTATGTGGTAACAATAGGTCACATATACATACTGTGTTACAATAGGTCACATATACATACTGTGTTACAATAGGTCACATATACATACTGTGTTACAATAGGTCAAACTACTGTGCTACTGGTAATGAATTCTACCATTGTTGATAGTAAGAACTACTGTGCTACTGGTAACACATTCTACCATAAGTGAGAGTAAGAACTACTGTGCTACTGTTAGTGAATTCTTTCCTTGGTGAGAGTAAGAACTACTGTGCTAATGGTAAGGAATTCTACCATTGGGGAGAGTGGGAACTACTGTGCTACTGGTAGTGAATGTTAACCACACCAATGGTAGAATTCACTACCAGTAGCAGAGTAGTTCTTACTCTCACCAATGGTGGAATTCATTACCAGTAGCACAGTAGGTCTTACTCTCACCAATGGTAGAATTCATTACCATTAGCACAGTAGTTCTAACTCTCACCTATGGAAGAATGTGATACCAGTAGCACGGTAGTTCTTCCTCTCACCAATGGTAGAATTCACTACCAAGTAGTTCTAACTCTCACCAATGGAAGAATGTGATACCACTAGCACAGTAGTTCTTACTCTCACCAATGGTAGAATTCACTACCATTAGCACAGTAGTTCTAACTCTCACCAATGGAAGAATGTGATACCAGTAGCACAGTAGTTCTTACTCTCACCAATGGTAGAATTCACTACCAGTAGCACAGTAGTTCTTGCTCTCACCAATGGTAGAATGTGATACCAGTAGCACAGTAGTTCTCACTCCAACCAATGGTAGAATTCACTACCAGTAGCACAGTAGTTCTCACTCCCACCAATGGTAGAATTCACTACCAGTAGCACAGTAGGTCTTACTCTCACCAATGGTAGAATTCATTACCAGTAGCACAGTAGTTCTTACTCTCACTTATGGTAGAATGTGTTACCAGTAGCACAGTAGTTCTTACTCTCACCAATGGTAGAATGTGATACCAGTAGCACAGTAGTTCTCACTCTCACCAATGGTAGAATTCACTAACAGTAGCACAGTAGTTCTTACTCTCCCCAATGGTAGAATTCACTACCAGTAGCACAGTAGTTCTTACTCTCACTAATGGTTGAATTAACTACCAGTAGCACAGTAGTTCTAACTCTCACAAATGGAAGAATGTGATACCAGTAGAACAGTAGTTCTTACTCTCACCAATGGTAGAATTCACTACCAGTAGCACAGTAGTTCTTACTCTCACCAATGGTAGAATTCGTTACCAGTAGCACAGTAGTTCTCACTATCACCAATGGTAGAATTCACTACCAGTAGCACAGTAGTTCTTACTCTCACTAATGGTAGAATGTGATACAAGTAGCACAGCAGTTCTTACTCTCACCAATGGTAGAATTCACTACCAGTAGCACAGTAGTTCTCACTCCCACCAATGGTAGAATTCACTACCAGTAGCACATTAGTTCTTACTCTCACCAATGGTTGAATTCACTCCCAGTGGCACAGTAGTTCTTACTCTCACCAATGGTTGAATTCACTACCAGTAGCACAGTAGTTCTTACTCTCACCAATGGAAGAATGTGATACCAGTAGCACAGTAGTTCTTACTCTCACCAATGAAAGAATTCACTACCAGTAGCACAGTGGTTCTCACTCTCACCAATGGTAGAATGTGATGCCAGTAGTCTCACCAATGGTAGAATTCAATACCAGTAGCACAGTAGTTCTCACTCCCACCAATGGTAGAATTCACTACCATTAGCACAGTAGTTCTTACTCTCACCAATGGTAGAATGTGATGCCAGTAGTACAGTAGTTCTCACTCTTACCAATGGTAGAATGTGATACCAGTAGCACAGTAGTTCTCACTCTCCCCAATGGTAGAATTCACTACCAGTAGCACAGTAGTTCTTACTCTCACCAATGAAAGAACTACTGTGCTACTGGTAGTGAATTCTACCATTGGTAATAGTGAGAACTACTGTGCTACTGGTAGTGAATTCTACCATTGGTGAGAGTTAGAACTACTGTGCTACTGGTAGTTAATTCTACCATTGGTGAGAGTTAGAACTACTGTGCTACTGGTAGTTAATTCTACCATTGGTGAGAGTTAGAACTACTGTGCTACTGGTAGTTAATTCTACCATTGGTGAGAGTGAGACCTACTGTGCTACTGGTAGTGAATTCTACCATTGGGGAGAGTGAGAAGTACTGTGCTACTGGTAGTGAATTCTACCATTGGTGGGAGTGAGACCTACTGTGCTACTGGTAATGAATTCTACCATTGGGGAGAGTGAGAAGTACTGTGCTACTGGTAGTGAATTCTTCCATTGGTGAGAGTAAGAACTACTGTGCTACTGGTAGAATGTGATACAAGTAGCACAGCAGTTCTTACTCTCACCAATGGTAGAATTCGTTACCAGTAGCACAGTAGTTCTCACTCTCACCAATGGTCGAATTCACTACCAGTAGCACAGTAGTTCCTCCTGAATATTAGATTCAGTTAACATGGAAAGTTTTTGAAGGTTGAACAATGGTTGAACTAATTAAATGTGCTAAAAAACAGAAATAATGAGACAAAGTCTATCCAGCGTTTACCTTTAAGAAGTTTTAGCGTACGGAGGAGACCCCCCACATTCCCTCTAGCCAGGTTGAAGGACAGCAGCATCTGTAGACCCTCTGGAATAACATGCCCTTCATGTCTGAAACATAAGGGTAAATATAATGTACAAATTCCATAAAATTACACGATACCTATAACAATGGGTTACAAAAACATCTTCATACATCATTTACATAGGTGCAGTTTTGAATCTATAAACAGGCTTTTCTTTTTTTTCTTTGGATGTAAAACAGTTTACAGCTGGGTGGGGATGTGACTTTGTGAATTATTCCTTGAAATTAGAGTGTCCTGTAGCCTGAATGACTTGTACTCGATGGGATAGTTCATGTTTAAAGACATTTGATTTCCATAGTTACAGTGTTGGAAACCATGTTTTCATATTTTATTAATAAAATTACAAAATGTCAAGACAGGGATGCTCCAACTCCCATGAAAATGAGTGTCATTGTTTGAGAGTTTTCTGTAATGGTAACTGTGACCCTGACTTGGACCTTAAAGCTTTGAAATACAAAGACATTCAAAGTAACCTCCCACGTGACCTATGTATAGTCAAAACCCGTTAAAACGAAGTTGCTAGTGTGATGACACTGAATGAGGACGCCATGTGACACGATGTGACACACTGGGTAACACTATTTGCCTCCTGCAAAAATGGCAGAGGCATAATAAATACTTAAAAAATCTTGATTAACTGTCCAGGTACAATTCACAAAGCCCTACCTATAAATTAACATATGGTGGTAAAAGTGTTTAACTAGAACACTGACAGGTCAGTAAGGGCCCCGTCTTGTGGCAATATACCCGCCATAATCATCAAGAAGCAATCTGCAATACTCATTTGTTAGCTTTGATATGTTTTATTTCATTTTAAATACCTCCTCCATCAAGAGCCAGGGTCAAAGTCAGAGATCCACTTTGTCTTTGACCTTTGGACATAAATGACCTTGACCTTTAACCCAGTGGCCCTGATCTTTGGTCAGTTGACTTATTCTTTGATTCCGACCAACTTTGCTTCATAATATCATAAACAAGAGGCCCAATGGGCCTGCATTGCTCACCTGGTATAAATCTCACACTTGTAACCTTAAAAGTGATCTAAAATAAAGATACAGGCAAAATATCAGTATTTATGATTAAAATTCATTCAAAAGAGCCTGTTATTTTTTTTAAAAACATTTCACCCCTGTGATTGAAAGTCAAACAAAGTCATTATGTTGAACAAATGTTATAGCCTTTCATCTCAGGATGCAACTTGCAAAGTATCAACATCCTGGGACCCATGGTTATTCAGAAGAATAAGTCAAAGTCATTCACTTTAACAAACATCGTAGTCCTTTACCCCAGCACTCTACTGGCCAAATATCATCACCTTGGGCATTTTGGTTATTGAGAGGAAGGTGTTTAAAGTTTTTGACATATTTGACCCCTGTGACCTTGAATATAGGTGAAGGTCATTCCTTTGAACAAACTTGGTAGCCCTTCATCTTAGCATGCTCCTGGCCAAATATCATTACCCTGGGCATTTTGGTTATTCAGAAGAAGTTCTTTAATGTTTTTAACATATTTGATCCCTGTGACCTTGAAAATTGATGAAGGTCATTCATCCCAGCATGCTACTGGCCAAATATCATCACCTTGGTCATTTTGGTTATTGAGAGGAAGGTGTTTAAAGTTTTTGACCTATTTGACCCCTGTGACCTTGAATATAATTGAAAGTCATTCATTTGAACAAACTTGGTAGCCCTTTACCCAAGCATGCTACTGGCCAAATATCATCGCCCTGGGCATTTTGGTTATTCAGAAGTTGTTTAAAGTTATTAACATATTTGACCCCTGTGACCTTGAAAAAGGGTGAAGGTAATTAATTTGAACAAACTTTGTAGCCCTTCATCCCAGTTTGCTTCTGGCCAAATATCATCACCCTAGGTCTTTCGGTCATGAAGAAGAATTCGTTTAAAGTAAAATATTGACGCCGGACGCCGGACGGAATGACGACGGATGCAACACCACGGCATAAAAATGTTCATCAGTGAAAAATACAAAACTTGGCCTTGACCTTGAACCTTTGGACCCCGTAACCTTGACCTTAGGTCACTTGACTTAGTGTTAAGTTCTGAACAACTTTGCTTCATAATGACATAAAAATAATGTTCATCAGTAAAAAGATACAATATTTGACCTTGACATTGACCCAGTGACCTTGACCTTAGGTCAGTTGACTCCTTGTTTAATTCTGACCAATATTGCTGTTCATAGTGTCATAACAAAGTGTTCATCAGGGAAAAGATACAAAATTTATACTTGACCTGTGACCCAGTGACCTGGACCTTTGATCCGTTGGATCCTTGTTTAATTTTGACCAACATTGCTTCATAATGTCATAAAAAAATGTTCATCAGTAAAATGATACTAAATTTGACCTTAACCTTTGATCTATTGACCTTGACCATTAGTCAGTTGACTCTTTGTGGAATTCTGAGCAACATTGCTTCAAAGCATCATAACGAAATATTCACCAGTGGAAAGATACAAAATTTAACCTTGACATTTGATCCAATGACATTGACCTTTGTACAGTTGACTCCTTATTTAATTCTGACCAACATTGCTTCATAGTGTCATAACAAAATGTTCATCAGTGAAAAAATGCAAAAATAGACCTTGACCTTTGAACCTAATGACCTTGACCTTTGACCTCGACTTTTTACCTCAGTGTGTCTCTTTGTTTAATTTCGACCAACTTTGCTTCATAATTTCATAAAATGCTCATTAGTGAAAAGCTACAAAATTTGACCTTGACCTTTGACCTAGACCTTTGGCCCGATGACCTTGATCTTCGGTCAGTTAACTCCTTGTTTAATTCTGATCAACTTTGCTTCATCATGTCATAACAAAATGCTCATCAGTGAAAAGATGCAAAATTTGACCTGGACCTTTGAACCTTATGACCTTGACCTTTGACCTTGACTTTTTACCTGAGCGTGTATTTTTGTGAACTGAACATCTTGACCAAGTTTCATGTAAATCGGTTTATTAATACCGAAGTTATTAGCCAGGAACAAAATTTGTAGACGGACAGACAGTGATTACTATAGGGCACTCGTATCTCCGATACGGGGCCCTAATAATGACCACTTACAAAGCAATATCTGCGACAAACTTACAAAGCAATGTCTGTGACAAACTTTTCTACTTCCTGTAGGACAAACTTGCTGAGGAACTGTGGTCTCTCTCCACTGGCTGGACACAAGGACAATGGTGGAATGTGGCCTAATGCTTTCCTGTAATACAAAACAGGTAATGTACATAATAAGTATACATGTATATGACATAAAACAGGTAACTGCTGGATATGGAATTCCTGTAACAGACAAAATAAATGTATATGAAAGGTACACGTTATGTTCCAGAGTTTAGCAACTACAGGGACACAATCATATTTCTATTTACTTTTATAGCAATTTCTGCTTACTAAATTAAAATATTTTTAATCTCCAAGCGGAATATGTTCAAATGAGAAAGGAAAACAAACTCTTTTCAACAAACTTGCTATCAACATAATTCATACCGAGTGTGATCCAAAATGGATGGTCTGAGACTTGGGGCAAGTGGCATTGTCATGGTTACGGTGGTGGCTAAGATTTGTAGATACCAGATAGCAGCGGCATCAGCTACACTGACACTGGCCTCGCGGATCACCCTGGCAACAGACATTTATTATGTTAATCATCAGCTACACTGACCTCGTGGATCACCCTGGCAACAGACATTTAGTATGTTAATCATCAGCTACACTGACACTGGCCTCGCGGATCACCCTGGCAACAGACATTTATTATGTTAATCATCAGCTACACTGACCTCGTGGATCACCCTGGCAACAGACATTTAGTATGTTAATCATCAGCTACACTGACACTGGCCTCGCGGATCACCCTGGCAACAGACATTTATTATGTTAATCTGATAAGTGTCTTTATAGGCAGTTTCCATTAAATCCAATCACACTATAGGTTATTTTACTATGAAGAATTACCATTGTAGATCAGTATGAACTTGCTGATCATCAATGGTTACATTAAACAATAACATAATAAGCCACATGATATAATAAACTCATAGAATATCGTTTTATTATCACTTTCTCTTCAAACACTGCAGCCTCTCAGATAAGTATGTATGTAAATGATAAACAGATCACAACTTTCTTGAATGACTTACTTGTACCCAACTGTTTTGATTCCGTGTATCCTCGTGTCACAGCCGTCATTTCTGCACTTCTTTATGTTGATCTGGAGGACTGAAATAACAAAGTTTTGGTTTCAATAATGATCAATATAGAACGGATGCACATGCATGTTACCTACAGAGAGTCAATCTGATAATCTCTGCCCTCCTTGTCATGTTTGTTAAAGTATATCTGGAAACTTGGCTGCCTTTAATAAAATAATTATTATAAATATAAACAAGAAGATTGAGTCATTGACATTTTTAGTGGTAACAAAATCTAAGCCTCCAAACAATTATACAGTCCCACTTTTTCTAACATGAGGCCCAATGGGCCTGCATCGCTCACCTGGTATTTATCTCACACTTGTAATCTTAAAAGTTGACTAAAATACAGCTACAGGCAGAATATCAGTGTTTGATTCATAAGAACCTATTAAAAGATTTAAACATATGATGCCTGTGACCTTGAATGTCGAACAAGGACATGAGGTTGAACAGAGTTTTTAGTCTTCCAACCCAGCATGCTTCTGGCAAAATATCATTACCCTGGACCTTTTGGTTATACAGAACAAATCATTTAAAGATTTAAATATCTATTGACCACTGTGACCTTGAATATGGGTGAAGGTCATTCACTTGGTAGTCCTTCATCCCAGCATGTTAATGGCCAAATATCATCACTCTTGGCCTTTTGCTTATTAAGAAGAAGTCATTCAATGGTTTTAAACATATTTGACCCCTGTGACCTTGAATATATATGTCAAGGTCATTCATTTGAACAAACTTGGTAGTCCTTCATCCCAGCATGTTACTGGCATTATATTAGGCCTCTTGGTTATTCAGAAGAAGTTGTTTAAAGGTTAAAAACATATTTGACCCCTGTGACCTTGAAAAAAGATGAAGGTCATTCATTTGAACAAACTTGGTAGCCCTTCATCCCAGCATGTTACTGGCCAAATATCATCATCCTATGCCTCTTGATTATTCAGAAGAAGTTGTATAAAGATTTTAACATATTTGACCCATGTGACCTTGAAAATGGATGAAGGTCATTTATTTGAACAAACTTGGTAGCCCTTCATCCAAGCATGTTACTGGCCAAATATCATCACCCTAGGCCTCTCGGTTATTCAGAAGAAGTTGTTTAAAGGTTTTAAATATATTTGACCCCTGTGACCTTGAATATAAATCAAGGTAATTTATTTGAACAAACTTGGAAGTCCTTCATCCCAGCATGTTACTGGCCTAATGTCATCACCCTAGGTCTCTCAGTTATTCAGAAGAAGTTGTTTAAATGTTTTTAACATATTTGACCCCTGTGACCTTGAATATAAATCAAGGTAATTAAATTGAACAAACTTGGAAGCCCTTCATCCCAGCATGTTACTGGCCTAATATCATCACCCTAGGTCTCTCGGTTATTCAGAAGAAGTTGTTTAAAGGTTTTGAACATATTTGACCCCTGTGACCTTGAATATAAGGCAAGGTCATTTATTCGAACAAACTTGGTAGCCCTTCATTCCAGCATGTTACTGGCCAAATATCATCATCCTAGGCCTCTTGGTTATTCAGAAGAAGTTGATTAAAGATTTTTACATATTTGACCCCTGTGACCTTGAAAATTGACGAAGGTCATTTATTTGAACAAACATGTTAGCCCTTCATCCAAGCATGCTTCTGACCAAATATCATCACCCTAGGCCTTTTGTTTCCTGAGAAGAAGTTGTTTAAAGTAAAAAGTTGATGCGGGACGGACGCCGGACGCCGCACCATGCCATAAGCTCACTTAGCCCTTCGGGCCAGGTGAGCTAAAAACAATAACAGACAGTAATATGTGAATCAGTAAATAACTGATATATTATGTATCTAAAACTCACTTGGATAAAATATCTTTGCATTCTTCAACAGCACAAACTCTCCAGTAATGTGGCTGTAATATAAAAGAAAATGAAAAACATTCTGCCAAACTTATGCCCATATGCATAATTTTGTGTGTTTAGTGTTGAGCCTCGTTGATGTAACATTTTTGCATTGCATCTGTTCATTAAACAAGAGGCCCAATGGGCCTGCATCGCTCACCTGTTATTAATCTAACACTTGTAATCTTAAGATTTCATAAGAACCTATTAAAAGATTTAAACATATGACGCCTCTGACCTTGATTGTCGAACAAGGACATTAGGTTGAAAGTGGATCAAGGTCATTCATTTGAACTAACATGGTAATCCTTTATCCCAGCATGCTACAGGCCCAATTTCAGTACCCTGGCCCTTTTGCTTATTGAAAAGAAGTCGCTTGAAGATTTTACGACATTTGACCCCTGTGACCTTGAAAGTTGGTCAAGGTCATTCAGTTGAACAAACTTGATAGTCCTTCATCCCAGCATGCTACAGGCCCAATATCAGTACCCTGGGCCTTTTGGTTATTGAGAAGAAGTTGTTTGAAGATTTTAAGACATCTGACCCCAGTGACCTTGAAAGTGGGTCAATGTCATTCATTTAAACAAACTTGGTAGCCCTTCATCCCAGCATGCTACAGGCCCAATATCAGTACCCTGGGCCTTTTGGTTATTGAGAAGAAGTCGTTTGAAGATTTTATGACATTTGACCCCTTTGACCTTTGAAAGTTGGTCAAGGTCATTCATTTGAACTAACTTGGTAATCCTTCATCCCAG